GTTTACATTAGCACCCCCCAAAATAAACTACTTAGGTATAAATCCAACAAAACTCTGATGAAGGAAGTCAAAGAACTATTCCATGTACATGGAAAGGAAGACTCAGTGTTGTTAGGTGTCCACCCTTCCCAACCTGATCTGTGGATTCAGTGCAGCCCAGTGAAAATCCCAGGAAGTTATTTCATGCATATTGACAACCTAATCCTACAGTTCATGAGGAAAGGAGGCGGAAAACCTGGAACAGTCGACACAACACTGAAGCAGAAGAACAAAGTTTTAGGACTGACACTAACTGGCTTAAAGACTTACTATGAAGCTACAGTAATCAAGGCAGTGTGGGACTGGCAAATGAACAGACAGATCAATGGAGCACAATAGAAAGCCCAGAAATAGACCCGCCCAAATATAGTCAGCTGTTCTTTGACAAAGGAGCAAAGGCAATACAGCAGAACAGGATAGTCTTTCCAACAAAGGGCGCTGGGACAACTGGACATATGCATGCAAAGAAGTTAATCTTAGACACAGACCTGCCCCCTTTCACAAAAATTAACTCAGTGGATCACACATGGATACATACATGTGAAACACAAAGCTGTGAAACTCCTAGGAGATAATGAGAATCTGGATGGCCTTGGGTGTGGTTATGCCTTTTTAGATGCAATATCAAAGACGTGATCCACGAAAGATAATTGACACACTGGACATCATTAAACTTAAAGCTTCTACTCCGGCACGGATGTTACCAAGAGAATTAGAGGACAGACTACATACTGGAAGAAAATGCTTGCGCAAGACACATCTGATCAATGGCTGTTACCCAAAATACACGAAGAACTCTTAAAATGCAACGACAGGGAACAAGCAGCAAATGGCCAGTAGGAAGCAGTCCTGCGCAGACACTTCAGCCAGGAAGACACACAGATGGCGAGTACACGCCTGAAAAGGTGCCCCACGTCATTGTCCTCAGTGAAACGCAAACCAAAACGAGACGCCACGACACACCTGTAAGTGGCTGGCGGTGACGTGGAGCAGCAGAAACTCAGCTCACTGCTGGGGTGGGTGCGCAGCGGTAGTCACTTTGGAAGACAGTTTGGCAGTTTCTTACAAAGCTAAACATACTCTTACCATGTGGTGCAGCCATGATGACCCTTGGTGTTTACCCAAGGAAGTTGAGAACTTACATCCACACAAAAACTGGCGCATGGATGTTGGTAGCAGCTTTATTCATTATGGCCAGAACTTGGAAGCAAACAAGATGTTCTTCAGTAGGTGAAGAGATAAACTGGTCCATCCTGACAATGGAGCATCTTCCAGCACTAAAAGGAAATGAGCTATCTAGCCATGGAAAGACCCGGAGGAACCCTAAATGCATCTACTAAGTGAAAGAAGCCAGTCCTAATGGGCTACGTGCTGTCTGATTCCAGCCCTGTGGCATTCTGGGAAGGGCAGCGTTTACCCCTCGTGTCCCATTCTGTTGACGGATGTTGTTTGGGGGGCTGCACACATAGGGTCAGGGGGCACACGGGCACTCTGCGCCCTCCCCTCAATTTTGTTGTAAACCTGAAATTGCTCTAAGAAATACTCTTGAGGAAAAAAAGAGCCCCTGCCCTCAGTGTCAGTAGAGTCCTGAGTCAGTGACCGCAGGGCATGTGCGAGGGACAGGGCACTGAGCAGAGTCCTGCGTGGAATCGGGGGTGGGGGGTGATTCTGGAGGGAGGAGGATCCCGTGGGGGACGGGGCTGACCAGGTTCAAGGACAGTGTGAGGACAGAGCAGCCGGGCTGAGCCGTGAGCGAGAGCCCGGTGGGGCCGCCGTGCCGAGTGCTGGGTGGTCCATCTTCCCCTGTCTGCTCGGCTGTGAGGGGCTGGGCTTAGGTTTGTCAGGCTGCAGTTGGGTTCATGTCTCTCTTCATGTGTCTCCTCGAAGAATCAGTCGCAGAGAACCGGGTGATCTGGGTCGAGTGGCCGTGCACGCCTGGCCGGAGTCTTCCCGAAGCGCCTTCCCACCCCTTCCTGAGTGGCAGGACTTCCGTGGAGCAGGCCTGTGTCCCGGGTGTGAGACAGGAGTCACAGGCTGTCCCAGGGTCCCGGCAGCCGGGCACACAGTAGGCGCTTAGCGTGTGCTCACTTGAGGGTCACAGAGGTGGATGTGTGTCCAGTCCCGAAGGCCTGGGCTCCCCAGGGAAGGGTGCCTGCTGCGTGAGGACGGAACGGCAGGCAGGAGACAGAGCCCCCCCACACCCCCAGAGGCTGCGGCTGCTCCCCCAGCTGCTCCCCACCCTCTAATCAGCCTGTCAGCACTGAGGAGCCGGGGGGAGTCCCTCCTCAGGGCTGTGCTCCCCAGAGGCTGGGTTTGGAGGGGGTCCAAGCCACCTGGCTCTCCTTGGTGGAGGTGCTGGTGCTATAGGAGTGGGGGGGCCTCATGGACCCCAGACTCCTTTTTCCCTCCCCCTCCCCAGGGGGTGGGGCTGGGACCAGCCGTGTAGATGCAGTCAGTCTGTCTGAGTGGCAGACAGTATAGACGTGTGTGGGTGGTGAGGGGTGCTGTGGTCGTGCAGGGGCCCAGCCTGTGTGGAGGGCACGTGTCTGAGCATGTGAGCAGGTGTGAGAGTGCAGTGCTGTTGGTGTGGGCAGCACACGGGGGTTTGGGCCCCACTGCCCCTTGCTCTATGCTCGGACCCTCAGTGACTTCTGGACCCTTCTGCCCACCCACCACTCTCTGAGGAGGAGCTGAAGCTGCTTCCAGGCCAGGGCTGGAGTTTTGGTCTGTGTGTCCTTCGCTGCCTCCCACGCCATCGCCCTGCCGCGCTCCCGGCATCCCCCCAGCTTCCAGGTTCTCTGGCTCAGCTGTCTCCCTGCCCCGCCTGGCTGGAGGGCGCACAAGCTCCTGGGTCTCAGGAAAGGGCATCTCCTGGAAGTTTGTGCTGCTTCAGACTCTCGTGGGTATGGACACATTGCCTTCTCTGTGTGACCCCCAGAAGGTGACCCCCATTTACAGAGAGGTTTAAGGATTTTCTGGGGCCCTAGGTGCTCCCTGAGCCCCAGTCCAGGAGTCTGGCTGCAGCTGACAGGGCAGCCCTCAGAAGCACAGCTTCAGTGCCCTGGGCAGCCCGCCCCACATCCCTGGCTGCTCTCAGGGCCGGCCTTGTGCACCGGCCCCTCGCTGCCCTTCCTGTGGGCACAGTCCCTGCAGTTCCCTACCTGTGTGCAAGGCCTGGGTGCCTTTTCATTCATGCTCTTGGGTCCAACACTGTCCGATGGCCATGAATCTGGTGCTGGGCCCTTTCATGCCCCTCTGAGGGCTTCAGACCCCTGTCTGGGTTGAGCTGCCAGGACGAGGTGGCGGCCTGAGTGGCGGGAGGCTGGTGGACCCTGGGCCAC